CTGTAGTCCCAGCTACTTGGGAGGCTGAGGCAAGAGAATCACTTAAGCCAGGAGTTGGAGGTTGCTGTGAGCTATGATGCCATGGCATTCTACCCAGGGTGACGGCTTGAGGCTCTGTCTCGAAAAAGAAAAAATAATTAGTCTGTTCTTGCTCAGCACCTGTAGCTCAACAGGTAGGGCATTGGCCACATACACCAGAGCTGCAGGTTTGAACCCAGCCTGGGCCTGCTAAACAATGACATCTACAACCAAAAAATAGCCAGGTGCTGTGGGGGGCACCTGTATTCCCAACTACTTGGGAGTCTGGGGCAAGAGAAATCACTTGGGCCCAAGAACTTGAGGTTGCTATGAACAGTGATGCCATGGTACTCTATCAAGGGTGACATAGTGAGACTCTGTCTCAAAAAAAAAAAAAAAAAAAAAAAATTTAGTCTGCTCGAAGAAATTTGTTAATCACAAATAATTTCCCTTTGCAAAATCTCTGCTGCCTTTCTACCATAAGAATAAGCTTAATAAGATAAAATTTTCATGAGCTTGCCAGATAACTCCCAGTCTAGCAATCTATCTATGCTCTGGCACAGAGATCATTGTTTCAAACTCAAACTGTTTTACCAAATAAAATGGCTAGTGTTATTGTATTTTTATTTATCTGTTAGATCTAGGGAATCTTGTACATTTACTGTTATTTTATTTCAAGATTTAAGACTTTATCCCTAACCCACAGGGCAAATACATGCTAGTGATCACATAAGAAACAGTAAATTGTGGCTTAGTTCAAAATGCTCACTACTACAGAAGGAAATAAAACACTCCAAGTATATAGTATACTGTAATGGATCAGAGACATCAAACATTGTTTTATATTTTAACATCTTTGATTTGGTTATATTAAAGGACTGTGTTAAAATGAGAAAGTTCCTCAAAACAATGTGGATGAAACAAGTATTTCTATTGTTCTTTCATCATTTCTGAGATTATCTGAGATGATCATCAAATGAGTTGATTCTCCAGATGTTCTTCTGTTTGGTATAGAAGGTATACTTCATATAACCTATGATTGGTTTAAGTCATTTCCTTTTTTTTTTTCTTTTTTGCCGGGGCTGGATTTGAACACCCCCCCACCTCTGGTAAATGGGGCTGGAGCCCTACTCTTTGAGCCACAGGCGCCGCCTCCAGTCATTTCCTTTTTAAGTAGTTTAAGTCAATAGCTTAGTTGTACCTAAGTTTACATACTTTATGAGCTTTCTTATTTGTATTTAAATAATCTTTCCCTTATAGTTGTAAAATGTAAACGTTGAACTATTCACTGATAGACACTACTCTCTTTAATAGAAAAGGTTAATTCAAACAAATATTGAACTAAATTGACAAATAAAACTGATCTTCCCATTTCTAGTTTCCTTGCTACATATTACATTCTACCTGTACGTGTCTAGACTATCCAATATCTACAATATTCTCTAGAGCCCACCAAATGTTTCCAGATCTTACCAGTTACACAAATCCTACTCCAGAGAACTTAATATTAATTATCCTTATCACAATTCAAATGACATTCAAAAATGTAAAATGATCAAGTTAGAAGAAAAATGACTCACATCCGCTTCCTCTTTCATTCATGTTAGTCCTTACCTATTTCTTTTTTTAATTTTTTTTTTTTTTTTTAAGACAGGAGCCTCAAGCTGTCCCCCTGGGTAGAGTGCCATGGCATCACGGCTCAAAGCAACCTCCAACTCCTGGGCTCAAGCCAGTCTCCTACCTCAGGCTCCCGAATAGCTGGGACAACAGGGACCCGCCACAATGCCTGGCTATTTTTTGGTTGCAGCCATCATTGTTGTTTGGCGGCAGGGCTGGATTCAAACTCACCACCTTGGGTGTACATGACTGGCACCTTAACCACTTGAGCCACAGGCACCCAGCCAGTTCTCACCTATTTCAACCATCAATACAATTGTATTCAAAAAGATGAGGAAGATGATAAAGTTCTTGAAGAGAGAACCTGTTTTTTCCTTAAGGAAACTAGAGTGTAGTTCTGATTTTTATGCAGCTGAAATAATAAAAGCAAGAATAAAAACAGTGATAATGAGAAGAAAAGAGTTTGGGAAGGGAAAAATAAGTCATCAGACAGATGATGAACAGCCATAAATGCCAGGAAAGGATACACTCAAGAACCCATCCAGCCCACAAGGAAAGAGGTGGCCTCCGACTGCATCGGACTCGAAGCCTGCTCATCTTCCTCTGGGCATGTGAAATCCGTCCTGCATGTTGAGGCTTTATAGAGAAGCGCACTAACTGGTGTTGATCTCCCAACATAAGTTTCTTCTGACGGGCAGGATCTATAGCAAATATTTTAAAAGGATAATGGATAAATACAGACAAGTAAGTTTGGGGGCAGGGATACTGGTTCAACTCATGCAGAGGCTTACCTTCCTGCTGCTCCTTCTCACATCAACTCCAAATCCTCTTAGTTTGGAGCAATAATGTATTGCTTATGACCAGTACTGCCCACGCCCATGAATACAAGCAGAAGGTTAAAACCCTTCAAGTTCAAGTGCCTTTGGTAGAAACTTTTCCAAGTTAGTCAATGTTACTAGCTATCTTAGGCCAAAAAATGAGTGACATGGGTTCTATCTCCTGGATTCAAAGAGGTTTTGTTTGTTTGTTTGTTTAGAGACAGTCTCACTTAGTCACCCTAGGTAGAGTGCCATGGCGTCAAAGCTCACAGCAACCTCCAACTCTTGGGTTTAAGAGATTCTCTTGCCTCAGCCTCCCAAGTAGCTGGGACTACAGGTGTGGGTCACAACGCCTGGCTATTTTGGTTGCAGCTGTCATTGTTGTTTAGCAGGCCAGGCCAGGTTTGAACCTGCCAGCCCCAATCCATGTGGCTGGCGCCCTACCCACTGAGCAATGATCGCGGAACCGAATTCAAAGAGTTTTATTCATAATATTGAGTTTGGTATAAGCTCTAAACCAGTAACCAAAGCAAATTCCCTTGAATTCCCCCCCTCTAAAATTTGTCTTTCTTTGGAGGATGTCAATAGGAGACTTAAATTTAGAGTAAGGAAAAAATATGTTGCTGACCAAGTAACTCGCGGAGAGTGTGCCGTGGCACTGCTTGGCTCAAGCCTTGCAAATGTTCGATGAGAGAGAAAGTATCAATGAGACGTGAACGAATGGCATCAGCTCGGGGCAGTTGGACTTGCTCCGGTTCGGGACAACTGCTCATGTCTGTTAAGAAAATGGAAGAATCAAGTGTCATTTCACTCTTGCACTTGCATCAAGGATTAGCACTTTCCTGCTCCTCCTCCCCACCGTCTTTCCCCTTAAGGTGCCCCAAACCAGGAACTAGGAGCAGTTGGAAGAAAACAAATACATCCTACTAAGGCTCAACGTTTCCTGAAAACAAAAGGGAGCCATAAGAGATATTGCACAGTCGACCAAGTGGCAAAAAACTTTAATTTTGTGACAGCGTTTCTAATAAAACACACACACACAAACACTTCAAAAAATAATTTTAAAAAATACAACAGCCACAAGGACAGGGACCCGCGGCTGGACAAAGAAAACTCCGGGTCCTGCCTGGATTAGAGGCAATTGGACCATGAGGTGGGGCAGTGGGAGCGCTTAGGCTGAGCCCAAAGGAAAAATCTAGTGAAGAGGAACTGAACAAAATGCAGCAGCCTGACATTTTGAAAATGCGTCCGGTCCCAAGTGTATCCACCCCAATACTCCTTGAGGGCTGGCTCCTTCTCCGCTCAATCCCCGCCTCTGGGCCTCACCTTAGCCCAGTTCTCTTCGCCCACTCAGCCCTGACTTCACTCCTCAGCCTCGGGCTCTGGCGCCCCCTGAGCGCGGCTCCCGCACCACACAGGACGAGCTCAGGGCCGGCTCCCAGCCTCGCTGCGCCCCATTTCCAACCCCGTCCTGCCCAACGCTCAGGATCCCGCTCGCCCCACGCCGCCGCTCGCCCCAGACCCCAGTCCCGGATCCGAGCCCCGGGCCCAGCCGAGCTCAGCCCGTCTCGGCCCCGCCCCGCGCCCCGGCCACTCGGCAGTTACCAGCTGGTCCCACCCGCCCGACGCAGGCGCCGCGCAGCCAATCGGCGGCTGCCACACAGCAGCCCGAGCCGGCCTTGGGGGTTGGGACCTCCGGCTGCAGGTCCGCCTGGGCCAGACGCGCCAGCGCAGACAGCGGGTGAGTGGTTGCCGGCCGGCCGTCCGACCTCCGCAGTCGCCGCCGAGCCCCGACCCTCCCGGCCGCCCCCCAACCTCACCTCGCCGCCATGCGCCTCCGCCGCCTAACCCTGGTCCGGGGCGTGGCGCTGTTTCTCACGGGTCTCGCCGGTCTCGCTGCTGCCTCCGATGTGCTGGAACTCACGGACGACAACTTCGAGAGTCGCGTCTCCGATACCGGGTCCGCGGGCCTCATGCTGGTCGAGTTCTTTGCCCCCTGGTAAGGCCACTCTGCCTGCGCGGGGGAGGGAGGGCCAGGCTGGGCCGGGGGCGCGGGCGCTGGCGCGGGGAACGGTTGGGCCTACGCGGCTTCTTCCACTATTCCTGCTGGCCTCGGCTGCCGCCGGCACATTCCCCATCCCTGGGAGCCGGCGGGGCCACTGCGAGAGGAGAAGTCGGTGCTGGACGGCTGGGAGCAACACCCGAGAAGGAAACCCCGAAGGCCCTCTCACGCAGGGCGACATTCTTACTTCGGTTTTCTTGCGGCACTTCCTATTTGTAGAGGTTTTAGCCACCCCCTTCCCCTCTCCCCCTTCGATAATGTGTTTTTTGCAGTTTCTGGGATAGTGTGGATGGTCTCCATTCTACGTACTCGGCATCCCCAAAGCCTTATAGTAAAAGCGAACGTTTCCCCAAGTGCAGAAGTCTTGGATCCCCAGGGTATTTCCTTTTTTCTTGCCTCACGGCCATTGGTTTTAGGCAAGGTCACTGTGTGGCTGCAGAATGGTCTTAAGTGCTTTCTGGAGGCAGACAATAATTATGTAAATCGAATGGTGTACAGTTTCTATATCAAACAGATCACTTATTTCTCAGTACTGGCCCAAACCTCTGTCAAAATGAAAGAAACGAACAAGAATAATTCCATCAGACTCTGTCCAAATTGTCAAATTTCAATTTTAATCAGGATTTCTGAAAAAAAAATGACAGACTCTTCAAAGAAAAAATAGCCAATGTTGGAGAATTACTCCACTTCAGGGTGATTTGATTGAATGAGTGTTAATTCCTTAAGATAGAGCTAACTCGAAATAAAAATCTGTCTTGGGGGGGAAAGAAGACCAAAAAAGGATTTCTGGCTCAGACATCCTGGTTTAGTTTCAGTTTTTAACCTACAGTCATTACTATAGCAAACAGTGATTATCTTAACCTTGAGGTAGAGGTAGCTCAATATTTTTTGCTAATTGCAGTGCTTAATTTTTTTCCCTCCTGACACAGTGACCCCTAGTTAAAAACTGTCTGTATTCAAAAGTATCAGTTAAAGTTAGTATGTAACTTTTACTTCAAACTCAGGTCTTTTACTCTTCAGCCTCTGCTGACTTGTGGAGGGTTACTCTAGAAGTATTATGGTAAAAAACATCTGAATCAGAGGGATATGCAGTTTACAGTAGGAATTGATGGAGAATGGTAGGCCATTAGACTGTTAATTTAAATCAGAAATTTTTTTTGTTTGAATTGGGGTATTTCCTACTTTAAATTGTTGCATGTGCTTCCTTGAGACTACATATCCCGTCATGCACTCAACTATCCTCCAAATTGGGTGGATCTCTGCTGTGGTGTCTGCTTTTAATTGGTTTAAAAGAGAAAGTCATCCTCTACTATGCCGGCAAGAAAGATCGGTTTTCTGTGTGAGCAATTCTGAGTCAAGGAAGTCTCCTTTTGATAATGTCTTTATTTCTTCACAATCAACTACAGTATTTTTATTTAACATTTCAGCTGGAATGTTTTCTGACAGCTATACACTTTTTTAAAGATCGGGAATACTATCTCAAAAGGTAGTTGGGAACAGTTAAAGAATCCTCATTAAGAGCAAAATGGCCGTATTTTGGGCAAGTTCTTTTTCTCCTTTGAAGTTTTTTCCACTTTCATTTTACAGATGAAAATGAAAGCTTTCTTTGCAGTTAATTCTGTAGACTGATATTTTAATTATGGAATTAATCATCTATATAGTCTGAGAGTATCTGACGAATTTCCGAATTTCTCTGAGGAAATAAGTAGCACTACTTAATTATTTGATAATTCTGAAAATGTATTGATTGCTGTTACGTCCATGACATCTACTTTTTTTTTGAGACAGAGTCTCACTATGTCGCCCTTGGTAGAGTGCTGTGGTGTTCCATCTCACAGAAACCTCAAACTCCTGTGCTTATGTGATTCTCTTGCCTCAGCCTCCCAGGTAGCTGGGACTACAGGCGCCTGCCACAATGCCTAGCTATTTTTTTTTTTTTTTTAAATTGCAGTTGTCATTGTTGTTTAGCAGGCCCCAGGCCAGACTGGCCTGGCCAGCGTGGGTGTATGTGGTCATGTGGTGAGGCACCCTACTTGCGCTACCATCGCTGAACACAGAACATCTACTTATGTTGTAGATATGTGTTCTACCCTCTAGAACAGAAGTAATAATAATACATGTGCTGATTCCTTTACTTGAAATCCTCCTCTACCCTCCAGTTGATCCTTTCAGCATGAAGATTGAGCTCAAAAGTTAACTTGTTCCTTTCGTGGACAACTATTCTCTCTTTTGGTACCTCATATAATCCAGTCCATCACTCTTGCCAGACTGCTGTTCCTAGACCAAAAGGACTATATCAGTTTTTCTATCAGTGGCTAAAGAAGCATTTGGCCCTGGCTGGGTGCGGTGGCTCACAGCTATGATCCTAGCACTCTGGGAGGCCGAGGTGGGTGGATTGCTTGAACTCATGAGTTGAGAACAGCTACTCGGGAGGCTGAGGCAAGAGAATCTCTTGAGCTCAAGAGTTTGAGGTTGCTGGGAACTATTCTTCTGTGAAAGACAGTATAAGGAATACTATTTGTTCACAACTTAGTCAAAAACACATTTGAAACCCCTGGATACCCCTTTGTTATCTCATACTCTTCCCAGTTTTTTTTTTTTTTTTT